GCTATTGCTGCTTTAGGTGTGAATAGGGTCACCTACTTTTCATACCTAAAAAAATGTCCGGTGGGGAATTTTAGAATCGTCTGGGATTTTGGTCGACTAAAGTGCAGCTGAACCAAGCCGTGAGCTCCAGGGCTGGTCGGGGCTGGGGACACCACAGTTAGGCAGGTGAGGTAGGCGGGTGGAGGCAGGGGGCCACCGGTGTCCAGGCTACCATCACCGGGTCGGATTCGGTCGATCAGTCCCCAGCCATGACCAGCCCTGGAGCTCATGGCTCGGTTCAGCTGCACTTTATTCGACCAAAACCCCGGAAGATTTTGAAATTCACCCGGGCTGAACCCGACCCGGTATGATTCCGTCACCGGGAGAATACCATCACCAGATCGGGTTTGGTCGCTCCATCCCCGGCTGCCGGGGTTCCCGGTCCGGTCCAGTCAGCGGCCTCAGCAGACACCCCCCAAAATAGAAACCCAAATATAATCACCATAGGTGTGAATGTAGCATAACAGCGGCTAGCCATGGTGTCCTGCACAACCATTGGAGGGTCACTTCATTCATGTGTCAGGGTACTTGCACAGAGGGGAAGGGACACGCAGACGACCATGACTGATGTGTCAGGAACCAATCGTCTACAACGGACCGTCTTTTGTGATTGGTTGAGGTTATCAATTGATTTCTCACTGTAGCGGGGACCATTTATTTTAGTTTCACTTCCAGACCTTCCATTTCCCTGCTTGCTAAGCGGCTGAGAGGAGATCTTTAAGCCACATGGGTTAAAAAGAAAAAAGCATCAGAAAAGATTTCCAAGGCAGCAGTGCTACCCACTGTGTCACTGAGCAGCCCTGTAGCCAATTATGTCTTGTTAAAAATCCAAGTATATGAGAATATGATGGGGGGGAAATGTTGCACAGGCAAAAGCTGCCTCTAAAATCCTTATAAAGAAAATCCCATCCAAGAGCTGACTGGGAAATAACTGTTAAATCGTCCAAAGTCCTCTTTTCAGATAAAGGTTCATTTTGTATTTATTTTATATTTATTATATATTTATTATTATTTGGAAATCAAGGTTCCTGAGTCTGGAGAAGAACAGAATCCAAGTTTGGGGTCCAGTGTGACATTTTCAGTCTTTATGATGATTGGAGGAGTGTAAATCCTCTGATATTTTCAACATATTCATAAATGGATTAATTGTGCTTAACCCATGTTTTCCAAAACCTTCTATTCTTTTTTTGCAATTACAGTGCACCAACCATTTTCCTTAGCATCTTAGCAGGGAATATTCTATCTAGAGCTGCAACTAACGCTTATTTGGCTAATAAATAAATGTGTTGATTTCTTTTTTGATTAGTTGATCAAAAGTCTGATAGAAAAAGGTGCCTTAAAATATCTTTTACATAAAGCATGTAATCTGATATAACTGATATCTATTGGCAAATTGTAAAGAAAAAAAAAAAAAAAAAAAAGCCAATTGACAAATTGTAATAAAAAATAAATGGAGATAAAATGTATCAATGTCTTTCCATTTTGAGTGAGGAGAGTGTGTTTAGGATAGGCTTACCTCAATACACCTCTTTAGGTCCGTCAGGTTCATGACCATGCCGGTTACAGGATCAATCTGCAAACACATTTCCAGGATACTTTTTTAAAATCAGTTTCAGTTTACTCTGATTTTTATAGAAATACTTGTTTGATACTAACTTTTCCACGCACAGTCACCTCCACTGTGGAGTAAAAGGACAATAGTCAAGTGAAACGGAGAAAACAGAGTTGGCTTAATGTGAAACTATGTATGGATTATGTAACAGTCTAGGAGTGAGGAAGCTAAGCAAACCTTTGTAGTTGTGTCCATGACCATAGGGATTGTTGCACTTTCCGTAAACTTCTTTATTCTCCTCATCACTCAGGTGAAGACTGGAAAAAGTTGCAGAAAATATATGAACAACAGCTCGTTGGAATCTGATTCTTTTCAGCTTTTACAGTAGGGTTTTTGTGCTCTGATAGCACAGGTCAAACAAAAAACACATGGGCAGGGGTTATTGACATTATTGCATAAAAGCACATTCCACATAGTGCAACGTAATCACTTAAAAATGATTCAGAATATGCATATTAGAAAGAATCCATACTCCATCCATAAACTGCAAGAAACTTAAATCTAAATACCGGTAAGTAATTTTTTCTTAAAATAAGTAACATTTTTTCTTGAATTGAGGAGGTAAGTGAGGCACTTTGCCAGTGGAACAAGACAATTTACACTTAAAATAAGTAAAAAAAAATAGCTGTGTCTTATTTCAAGAGCATATTCTCTAATTATCTTATTTTAAGAGTAAACAGTGTTATTCCATTGGCAGATCATCTTATGTACTGTACCTACTCAAATTAAGGACAAATTCACTTAATTTAAGACAATTTGTAGTTATTTCTAGATTGTTTTTGCAGTGTACTCCATAAAAATAATCCAGTTGAAAAATGCTGCCTTTAAGGATAACATATGGTCAGATTTAAAACTACTAGAGGGTAATACTAATACTTATTTCTAATATAACACACACACACACACACACACACAAAAGCAATGCAATGTAACTAGATGTGTCACTAAACACTAAATTAGGCAGTTTTAAACTACAATAAAACTTTTGTAAAGCCTAAAAAAACTGTCATTTTACAGCTTAAAAATTTTTATTTCACAAAAATGTTTATGTATTTGCAATTGAATATGTTAGTTTTATGACTGAGGCTTTCTGTAATTACTCCACAAATAAAATGTATTTTTCCGACACAATTAACGACACATCTGTCACTACCCAATCTGTCCCGGAAACACGAGTCCATAAATAATGTGTCCTAAATATTATTTGTAGAATATATACATGTATATATGTATACATACATATGCACAAATGACACTCCCCAGCGCATATGTTTGTCAATCTGTTTGTCTTTCCACCTGATTTTATTATTTTTTTGTAACATACCCCCTGGCATATTTGTTTACTTATATGTTTTATATATTATTGTTGACTTTAAGTGGAAAAAAAAAAATGTGTCCATAAATAATGTCATTATGGAACTAAAATTACTTATTTCTATCCGTAACTCACTATAGAAAACTAATACACATATGTAAAAAATTATATGTTTTATATATTATTGTTGACTTTAAGTGGAAAAAAAAAAATGTGTCCATAAATAATGTCATTATGCAACTAAAATTACTTATTTCTATCCGTAACTCACTATAGAAAACTAATACACATATGTAAAAAATGTGTTATGAGTTTTTTGAGACAATTTTTATGCTTTTTACATTTTCTCCATCCAAAATATTATTAAACCATGTTTATCTGCATTTTAGTTGTTTCTTTCTATAGAAAACGCACTATATACAATAAGGTTAAACGAAACGAAAACATAAAACTCAAAAAGACTAGATTTATGTGTTAATCCAAAGACCGAAAAAGTTAACCACCGGAAGTTGCGTTTGATCCCATTTCCGGTGCAGATCGGGCAGAGACGACTGATAAAATAAAGGATTTTAAGGCATTTATTTTCACAAGAAAGAGATTATTAACATTTAAGATATTATATTGTAGCACATTTACTATTTTGGGTGAGGGAAAACGTCATTTAGGTATATTTAACAAAGACTTAACGACCCAGGTGTTTATCTGGATGCGGATGCGCAGAACGGATCGAGCTTCCAGCGTCATTAAAGCTCCGTAAATCAAATAAAAACTACAAGTCCCAGAAGAGCTTGCTCATATATGCTCTTTCTTTCTGTAACCCATAACTGTCAATGTATTCACAAATCCATCGTATTTGATTTCTACCCATATTACGTAACGTGAAGTTTAAACGTGACGTTTGTTTCCCCTCGTGCATTTCAGGAAAAAGCAGCGCTGTTTTATTTCAGCCCGTCTTTTCTCTGGCGTTAAAAAAAAGAAACGTTGGTAGCAGTGTGTAGAGTACCTGTGGAGTCTGTGGCAGGCGCTGAAGCTCTGGACTCGGGTTATATATCCGATGCGCACCGCTGCCTTGTCGTTCCCAGTGGATTCGGCCATGTTGGCTGCAGAGGCAGAGCTGAGGATGGAGAATAAAACCCAGCTGTCTGCTGTCAGACCTGTCAGTGACTCAGGCTGTCCGCCATTGGCTCATTTATGGGCGTAAATAAGCTCACATGGCTACACGGTTATAAAAGCAGGACTGAACCGTGATTTAACCACAGCAAACTGTTTACACGCTTTAGTTAAAAAGTGAAGAGATCTTTGTTCACATTTTTCTTCCATGTAATTTATCCCAGTTTTCTCTAAAGGACTCCTTTTCTCCCACTTCAAAGAAAAAACAAACTGCTGTATTGTATATCATAAGGGATTCTTAGTAGTTGAAATTATGATGTTAAAAGTCATAATTAGGAGCAAGAAAGCTCCTGTTATTTTAAAAGGTTAGATTTAGGATTCCCCCCCCCCCCTCCTAAATCTAATTTAACCCTTATTTGACCCTAATCATGAGTTTTTAATTTAATATTTTTGACTTTAAAGCTTATTTTTTAAAACCTTTAACCATAATTGTTGTAAAAAGTCATGATATTGAATTTTATGATTTTGGTTTTATATCGTAGTAGTTTATTGCTCGTAAATATAACTTTTATTTCATAACAAGAGTGTCACTCAAAAGAAAATAATCAGTTTCCAAATGAAATGTTTAAATTATAGAATAAACATCTAATTTTAAAAGCATTTTTGTAATGCCCCACTTTCAATGGTGTAACAATAGAACAATAGGCCCGTAAAGAACATTACCTGGGTGGGCCCCAATGAAGTACAACACGTGATAAAGGTTCAAGATATGGTTCTTCTTTCCTTTTTCTTTTCTGGAATCTGCTTAAGTACCTCTTTTTGGGATCCATTGTCGCTAACACATTGTAATGTCAATTCATTTCAGTATATTTCTATAGCGCCAATTCGCAACACATGTCATCTCAAGGCACTGTACAGCTCACCAGATCATACAGTCAAATTGATTCAGAGTTTTCTATCTAAAGAAAACCAGTTGATTGCATCGACCCATTGACGCGGATGCAATCCCTCACACTGAGCATGCTTGTAGCGACAGTGGAGAGGAAAAACTCCCTTTTAACAGGAAGAAACCTCCAGCAGAAGCAGGCTCAGTGTGAGCCGCCATCTGCCGAGGCCGACTGTCCGTAACGATTATGGTTTTAATCTGCGCTCTGGATTACACATAATTCCAAGTCGTAGTGTAAAAAATAAAATACTCAAATACATTGGGTTTAAGAGGAATTTTTTGCACCATTACATCTGCAAAGAGACGACCTAGTTGACAAATAAGTTGGGGGCCTGTCAGGTGTCAATGATGGGGCCCCTAAGAAGTCTAGGGCCCATAAGCAACTGCTGCCTCTGCTTACCGATAATTACGGCATTGCCCCCTTTCAGTTAAATTGTGAGAGAGGAATGTAAATTGTATTTTTTAATATCCAGTTATAGATATTGCAATCGATAAGTTAATTTTCAAATTTTTTTTGCCTAAATGTACAATTTAAAACCACAATTTATAATTCTGATTACACATGCCTTTCTTTGTTGCCCAGTTAAAGAGGGAAATCCTTTTAATCCTTTTCTTATTTCTTTTCACCTTTTCAAATAATTTCTTCAATTACATTTTTTTCTCTCTCCTTTTATTAACTGGTCCCTCTGCATTCTCCTAATGGTTTTCCTTATTCATTTAACTTTGGCGTAACCTTGTTAATAAACGGTACTGTTAATAATCCATAGCTACATTGTTTATAAAATAAGCTGTTCTCAAACTATTAATAAGCTTTTAACCTATTTAAAGAGGTTAAATGCTTGTTATCAAACTGAAATAAACTGTTAATCGAGAACTTTACCATTGATACGTCGACACTAAACTCCTAATATACTGTAACTAAACTGTAACTAAGTTGTAACTAACTTGTTATTGAGCTATTGTTGGGTTACTCTAATACTAACTTAGTAAAAGAGTCAATCAAAAATATGTTTTTGCAAAAGGAATTTGAAAATGCAAGGGGACAAAGAAAATAGAAATGTTTTGCAGGATCTATTATTTAATAGTTTGAAATGGTTGTTTTTCTTGATCGACTCCTCTGGTTCTCTATTCATTTGCTACCTTTAATCCCAGTTTTTACAATTTTGCAGTTTAGAACGATAGCTTTAAAAGATATAGCACCTTTAGAAAAAAAAATTAACCGCTGAATTTTCACCCGCTCTTTTTAGGCCACCTTTTGGAGCCCAAAACAAACTAAAGACCAAAGGAACCAAAGCTGTAATCCAGAGAAGATACCTCTCTAATCACCAAACTTAACTGAGCAAAAGCCTTTCCTGCTACCAGCTTTTTAGTCTGAAAAGTTAGAAAGCTTGTTTCTAATAACTTAGTGGTTTTTCACACTTTCTCCATGCTTTGAGTTCACATGTTGGCGTCTAGAACACTACAGTTGTCATGTGAGAGTCACCAGACTGTTTCTTCCCAGATTTAGAGTTACCCTTTTTATTCATACATTAGAAACTTATCAAACCAGTCTAATAAAAAATGTGCATCTCTTGCATTTCGTCTTAGTCTTGTTTTTATCAATATAACCATATTTACTGTAATAATAGTGAACACACATTAAAAAAGGGGGAAAATGTTATATGATCTGGAAGCTTCAGTGTGGAGCTTATGTCATCTTAGCAGCAAAAACAGAAGAAATGTGTCCCTAAAAACGTGGGCCTATAGGTCATGGGTTTTTTACTTTACCATGACTTTTATGTCTTTTTCTCCATGGTTATCTAATGCTGAAAAGTGAGATGAAATGTGGCAAACTAAAAAGCTGCCATCTTTCAACCGGAAAACTGAGAGACACTGAAAAATGTCTTGGCTAAGCGATCACACAGTACTGGACATTTAAATGTTGGTTTTTCCAGATTATATCTTCACAAAACTGCTTTAATTTAAACAGGGGCTATGCTAATTAATATGTAAGAGTATGTTTCCATACCATTCTATCACTGTGCAAACAGCGACTATATATTTTTAGCCGTTTTTTTTGCTGCTATCAAATAGTAAATCAACCCAAAACTGGAACCCTTTCACAGTTAATCAGATTTTATGGCCAGATGATGTCATGGTTTGATAAACTTTTGAAAGCCTAATTTGTGAAAATTAATTGGAGGCAGTTCTGCGCTCCGAGAAGTGAACCAAAAATATGTAAAATGTTTACACTGGAAAAAAATTAAATCTAGATAAGTCAATTTTTCTTAAAATAAGTGCATTTGTTCTTGGATTAAGGAGGTAAAAGAGACATTTTGCCAATGGAACAAGACAATTTACACTTAAAATAAGAAATATCAATTGCATATTTCAAGTGCATATAATCTATTTATCTTATTTTAAGAGTAAAAATACTCATTCCATTGGCAAACCATCTCATTTACCTACTCAAATTAAGAGTAAAAAGACTTAATTTAAGGAATTTTTTCTTATTTCTAGATAGTTTTTACAGTGTATGAATTAAGTGTATTTGCACTTGATTCGAAAGGGTAAGTAAAATGATCTGTAAATGGAGTGATACGATTTTTTCATTAAAAATAAGAAAGAAGAAGAACTCTCTATTATCTCAAGCACAGTATATAAAATAATCTTGTTAAAGTATCAAAAATACTTATTCCATAGGCAGATGATTTTACTTACCTCCTCAAATGAAGGGCTAATACATTTAGATCTAGAGGAATTTACTGTCACTTTACCAGACACTGGCTAAAGGTCTGCTGCTCCACTTAAATAAAAGCATGTCCAGAATGTGTGTGCTTGAACATCAGAAGGAAGAAAAATAAACACTCTGTAGCTGACTTTTAAATATAACATCTATGGTTGTCAGATTTATCATGCGAGGTGACCACAGTCTATGAGTAAGCAATACATTCTGGTCTCTAAATCCAATTCAGCTTGGGTTATGTGACGAATATCAGTCGTGTGATCGGGGGTATGCCTGTATTTCATGTTTGTGTATGTGTGAAGTTAGGCACTAACCTATTATGCAGTCACTATCTAGAAACTGCTTCAGAAAAACAGTTATTTGATAATAAATAGGTTAATAACATAAGTCAGTAAAGAAATGCGAGTGAATACCCCCTTGTTTATTAAAGGTAGATATCTTAATATCAGATTTTTAAAATGTGCGTGGCATGGCCCCAAGGTGTAATTTATTTATTTTTCAACTATTGCTAAGTCTGTAAGTTTTCATATACTGTCAATTACATAGCTCAAAAGATAAAGGGAACAATCAAAAAGCACATAGATCTGAATGAATGAAATATTCTCATTGAATACTTTGTTCTTTACAAAGTTGAATGTTCTGACAACAAAATCACATAAAAATCAAAAAGAAATACAACTTATTAACCAATGGAGTCGCACACAAAATGAAAGTGGAAAAACACACAACAGGCTGATCCAAATTGATTTTAATGTCCTTAATAAATGTCGGAATAAAGCTCAGTATTGTGTGTGGCTCTTGATGAGTTTGCTCCTGGACAGTATGTGGTGCAATGTGATGTTGGTGCATGAATGGAGACATTATGTCCCAGATGTGCTCAGTCAGATTCCGGTCTGGGGAGGGGCCTTGTGTCACTCATTCAGAGTACTCATTCAGACAATGCCCAGGTTAGATGTCTCTTGCATGAATTGTTTTGTTGTCAAAGAGGCTTTTTGAACCAATGTCTACTTGACAAGTCACTCAGAGCCTGATTTGCCTTGGGAGACCCTTCTAGAGGCATTTAAGCCCCTACCTACATAGCCTCTGGAATCATCTGAGCATGCCACCAGTATATTTCTCATGATTCGTGGCACTAGTGCTACTTTAATTCATCATTCAACATACCTGTCAGCTCTGCTTTGTTCTGATTTCAGCTCACATCAGATTCACCTGCTCACCCGACTATATAACCAGCTCTT